GTGATATTCTTATTAATGCCAATAAACTACACATTCTTAACATTAAAATTTTTTCGTGTCATATACACTTTAAGTAAAATCATTTCCTCGTTTCTTTTTGATGCAAACCCTCACTAGAATCCTTTCAAAACACTTATTCAGTTTCAAGAAAAATTCACTTTAAATAAGTTACCAAATTTTAAACTCTTCATCGTTAAAAAGAATTTGACTCATGTTCTACTGAAAGGTTTCTCACGAAAACACGTACGCGAAACATACTGCTGTTCATACACAGTTTTTTACTGTGTTTACATAGAATTGGCATTTTTATTTACGACTATTTACTGTGTTTACATAGCCCGAATAGAAAAGATTGTCAGAGTGATCTTCTGATAGAATTGGCATTTTTTATTTACGACTAAGCTCTTAACATTATACGTAATAAACGGTTTTGGTCCGCGAAGGATTGACGCCATGTTTTTATTTGTATCGCACGATAAAGGTTAAAATAAAATTTAAAAATTCAAACACCTTTGTTGTGCATTATCTTACGTCATAAAAGCGTCTCATGTGGAAGATCTCTAAGCTTTTTTCATGTATAAAAAACGCTAAAGGTGGCCTTGGGCTAAAGTTATATGGCTCAATTACCGGCTGAGTAAGTCGATGCAATGGGCCTATAAAGCCATCAGCATGTTTTGTGTACTTACATCGTATGTACAATGTCAGCTTAATTCCTAGACATCGTGATGTTTTCGATTTATTATTATCGACGATTCAAAAATGTTTATCAGAAACAACTCTACGATTTGTACGTCGTAAGTACGTCGTAAGTACGTCGCGAGCAGTGAGCGTGACCAGTGGACGACGGAAGTTTCCTAAGATAATACAGGAAATGATGTTAAACTGTCAAGTGAGGTCCATAAAAAACATGATAGATAAAACTAGATAAATGGATAAAACCATTAAACAATACCCAAAAAGAATTAATCTAATTTTAATGGCAGTCTTTAAACGTGTGTCCTTCCGTTGACATAGGATAATTTCTTAGATGTTTTTAACAAATGAAAAACACGATAAAAATAAATCGAAAAGTAATATATTACCCATGTCCAATAAAGCCTTTAAGCTGATGAAAAAAATAAACGAATTAAGCTTCCAAATGATGTACATGTTGTCTCTTAGCTCGTTCATCAATACTTTATCAACTGGCGAGGCGACAAATGATCCAAGCCAAAATAAAAACACTGGATCAAATGATCTATAGTTTAAGCGACTCTGGCGACTAATGGTCCAAGCAAAGAAAACAATCAAAGTTAAATCTAAAAATATACTAATGCGTGTGTGTGTTAAAGCACGTTTAATAAAAATGGCGATTATTTTTGAAGGTATAAACAGGTTAAGTGTGATGTCACATATGTTCGATGACGTGATATATTTGGTTATTAGTAGTTATTGGTGTGAGTGTGGATGTATAGACGTTCCTGTATTATTATATTGGTTGAAGAGACGTTGAGAGTACTTGGTTATTTCTTAAATTTTGTTATTTGTTGGTTATCCGCATTGGTTATTTGTTAGATATTGGTGTGAGTATGGATGTATAGACGTTCTCGTATTTCTTATGTTCCGTTATTTCTTATATTTGGTTATTTGTTAGTTAT